CCTATTAATTTTTTTATTCTTGTGACTAATTAATTCGATAATTTGTGACTAAATAGTATAGAATTGTAACCTTAATATATTTAATTAATAAAGTATATATTTAATTAATTATTTCATAAATAAAATTTAATTAATATCTGATTTTTGAAGTTTTAACTCTTCTTATTTTTAAATGAGTCATACTTAGCCCTTGTTTGGCCCCCATTATAATGAGTTTTTGGAAATAATGTATGTTTGAATAATAATTTTTGAGAGAATGTGTGATTAAAAGATAAGGAAAAGTTTTTAATTGATGTGTAATATTATTTTATCGAATAATGTGTGGTTAAAAAGAAAAGAAAAATGTATTAAAAGTTTAATGGGGCCAAACATGAGCTTAATCTTTTAAATATGAAAGTTTTTCAATAAATTTTGTAAAATGAAGTTGAGGGAAAAATGAATTTAAAAAAAAAAACTTGAATAGGAGCTTAGTGTTCTTAAGATTATATGGTATATAAAGGACATTGTACAAGGTCCGATTATTCAAATCTTAACAAGTTACAATTAACAAGGTACAAGTGTATCGATATACGTGAAAAACCAATATCCTCTCGCAACTTGTGTTAGCAGAGAGATGTTGTGAGTCTATTGTTAGATGACTTGACCTAGGGCTGTAAGCAAAAACCGTCAAACCGAAAAATCGAATCGAAACCGCAATTTCGAAACCGACGGTTTGGTGCCACGTGGACCCGTCAACAAAATGGTTTTGAACCAAACCAAACCGGTCAAAAACGGTTTGGTTTAGGTTTGGAAATTTTAATTATGGTTTGAAACCAAACCGGACCGACGAAAAATATATAAAATAAAAAAGTAAAAAATTGATTTTTTTTGAAAATTTATCCAAAATTTCAATTTTGTAAAATTGAATAATTTTATCATTTTGTAGGTATTTTCGTCAATTCTAATTTTATATTAATTATTAAGATTTACGACCCGCCCAACCCTAATTATATATAAAAAATGCCCAAATTTGAAAGAAGTGGCACTAAACAGCCCAACCCAAGTTCATATACTCACAAGTCACAACCCTAATCTTCTAATTTCCATTTCTCTCACTCGCAACTCGCTGGTCGCAGCCTCGCTCTCCGCGACGCCTCGTGGTTTCCCCCAAATCGTCAACGCCCTCGAAATCTCGAACCTCCCAGTCGCCGGTAGTGTACGTTCGCCGGTATTATTAGACTATTTCAGGTTCTTGCATATTTATTTGCTCGTGAGTAAGGCTTAAAATTGAAATTTTGTCACTTTCTAGTTGAAATTTGTTTACATATTTATTGATCGTGAGTAAGGCTTAAAGTTGAAATTCGGGCTATCAGGTGCGCAAAAGACATTTGTTTACATATGAGAGAATATGTATAATTCCGTGTTAAATTGCAGAAGAAGAAGGTGGATATATATAGTGGAATGGAGGAGAAAAATATTTGCAACTTGTCTTTTGGAAGTCATTATTAGATGGATGAGTGTCTTAATTCTTTTTTTTTTTTCCAATTTGCTAATTAAAATTTTTTTTGTGTATGAAGGATAAATGATCACGAGTTCTGTGGCTTCTTGAATATGTGAATGTTTCTTCCTTTTACTAGTTCTGTGACAAAATTTGATGTTTCTTAAGTTATGTGACAAAATTAATTCGTTTATTCCTTTTGCTAGTTGAAAAGGGACATTATTCCCTTTTTTTGGATCCTATATTTATTTTAGTGGACTTGTATTGTATCTTTATCGTAAAGTATTATCCTGAAACGTCAAAAGGGCGAAAAAAAACTATGCTTTATTTTATTGTGATTTTACTTTTATTTTGTTGGTATTTAAATTTATAGTAGATATATTTAGTTTGTTTTAGATTTATTGCTAGTAAGATATAAATATATATTGAATTAATGGCATAAAAGTAGACACTAGACAGGAAAAAAATATACGCGAAACCGGCAGTTTAAAACCGGACCAAACTGTTAGGTTTAGGTTTGAGTTTTTTTCAAATCGGTCAAAACGGTTTGGTTTAGGTTTGAGTTTTTCTCAAACCGGTCAAAACGGTTTGGTTTGAAAATTTGTCAAAAACCGCAAAAACCGGACCACTTACACCCCTAACTTGACCCGAACCTTCAACACCCATATCTGTAACATAATATGTTTTTTGTTTTAATTTCTACAAAAGCAATCTTAAACTCATGCAATAGAATGACAACTTCCTTAGACTGTCATTTGACTTCTTACGTAATGGAATGTGCTAGAATTTTATAAAACTTTAATTTTATTAACTTGAAAATCTAAATACTTTATTGTCAAGATCCCCCAATCAAATTACCAAAAGAATTATAAAATACAGAACATACTTTAATTCATTAAGAATGATTTTTTAATAAAAGATTTTGATTCTGGATCTTGAATTGGATGTTCTTGATTGCAGTTTCTCGATCATGATTGCTTGTTCTTGATTTCTTATGATTTTGGATATTCCTTTTCAATTTGCTTTCTCTTGTTATTCTTGTATTGATGGGAGACAAATAGAATGATAATCACATATGAATTATGGACCATAACTCCATTTATATTTTCATATGTGTTTCGGTCTATCATGAAAATACAATCATAATCGATCGGGTCCCTATACATAATTAGGCCTATACTTTATTTATATGCGTAAAACCCATAACTTTAAATCTTCATTAGATCGCTTTAAATGGACTTAACTTTAAGATATCTTTTATATACAATTAGTTGCATATGTAAGCTCACACGACAAATTAAATCCCAACAATCTCCCACTTTGGCCATATATATTACCTTATAAATGTGCATAATCTTATGACATCAAAATTTTACTATCATAACCAAAAGTATCTCCGAGTAATCTTATCCATTAATTATGTTAATATAGGATCAAAGCAATCTTTATTATAAGTATCATAACTAAACCCATCAATGATCACATATATCAACACAATCAAATAACATAGATCAAGTTTGGATGTGTAGTATGAAAATTACATGTAACATGATCTAAACAAGCATATTTCAATTGATCATACCTTATTTTTTAATGAGATAAAAACAAAACGTTAATCAGAGTGAAACAAAACTTGAATATCTATACGCATAAAATGTGTCTGAATCAGACAACAACCAAATACAAACTCCCACTAAACTGCCATATCATCAAAAGATGCAACATCCATATGAACAATTTCTAGTGAAGAAAAACTACAAGCAACCAAAAAGTCGTGATAGTTGCACAAGAAAAGGCGAGCAATTGAGCATCGAGAAAATTAGACAAAAATACCAAACAAAAAATCGAAAGTAGTGCGTTTATTTATTTCCGCAAGGAAGTGCAGATTTTATTCGAATCTTCCATAATGGTATCACCAAGCATATGATCATGGGCGGACCTAGGGGGCGTCACGGGTGGCAAGTCCTGCCCCCCCTCCCCAAGTTTTGATTTTTTTTTTTTATATAAAATCATGTTTGGTATCGATTGGAATTTTAATCAAAGTTAACAATTAATTTTAATAACATATTTCATGGAATCCATAACCGTTTTAACTTTTATCAAAATTTACTAAAAAATTGATTTTAATCTTCACCAAACAGAGGCACAATCACAATAAATTTAAATTTCGATAACATGCTAATTTTAAAAATTCTCCGACGATCGTACGCTAATCAAAGCTACAAATTGATTATATCATCTCAAAGCTTATTTGGAGAACTACATTATGGACATATCGAACAGTCCAAACACATATCGAAAATAGTTAAAAATACGTTAAACGTAAGTCTTAAAAAAAGACGTCTAACTGACATTTTTTAAAAATTTTCAATGATTTCGTTAACATTTATTATTTTTACGATACAAATTTCTTAATGTAATTTTCATCATTTTATTAGGAAATTTTATATGGAATATGACATGAAAAAGTTTCGAAATTTTACATCCGAAAAATTCATATCCCATGTAAATTTTTGGATGTAAAATTACATGGGTTATGATTTTTTTGGACGTAAATTTTCGATTGTAAAATTTCTCTAAACTTCTTTACAAGTTCAATTGTGCCCCCTAACTTTTAGGGTTTGTGTCCGCCCATGCATATGATGCATTAAAGCTAATGCTAAAGTTATGAAGAAGTGAATTTTCCATTTCCTCAAGGTTGACACATGCTTGTTTATTTGTTAAAGGAGCCAAGCTTGAGCGGAATCCTTGTACTTGATATCAAAGGTCTTATACTTAATTATGATATAAGGATACTATGCCTTTGATTAAGTTAAAAATCATATTTTTAGTAAATTTTAATAAAAATTGATGAAATATGTAGTCGAAAAATTAATAATAATTGTGAATTCCATGAACTGCTGACTGAAAATGAATTTAAGAAAATGAGTTTTAAAAAATGGGAATCAAACATGGTTATGATCCTTAAAAGTGATGACGAAAAAATTCGTATAGCCCCTATTTGATTTAGTTAAAATGGTTGATAAAAACATACGTTAAAATTAATTCGCTTAACCACAAATTTATAAGATTCATATATTTCATCAACTTTTATTAAAATTTATTAAAAAATTAATTTTTAATAAAACCAAACAGAGTCTATAGTACCCCTGCTTTTTCACAATCTTCGTCGCTATTAAGCCGGGTGTCAATCATAAACATAAAGCCTCAAGTAAAGAACCTAGTTAAACTGCCCGAGTAATTTTGCTATATCTTGAGCAGCATATCATCATGCATAACAAAATAATCAAGAAATTCGGAGAAGATGCAACAGTTAATAAATTGTTTTATTATAGTATAAAATGTCATATCTTACAAGATGAGATGGAACATTTATTTCCAGAATTAAGCATGTATGAAAAATGTTTTAGAGTATTCTCTTTCTCAAGCTAATGGTGACCTTCTCTTGACACTCTTTGGGGAAGGACCACAACATTACACACACCAAAAAAAAAAAACAAAAAAACGCAGTTTAATGAATCTGTTAATTAACAGGGGGAGATCTGTAGTAGGCTGGAACAGTAGCAGGGAAGAACATTTGTCTAAATCCCTCTGCATTCATAATAGGAAAAATAATTCCAGATGCGCCCTGTAAAGAAAAAATACATCGTCAACTATGCATATTATATATATATACTGGATTGTACGATGAACATGATTTTAAACATTTTTTCTTCCTTAATATTGTCAAGTGCACAGTCACAGAAGAATAGAAGAAAATTTCAGTATCATTGTTAATTGATAGCCACGAGGTCAAGACACTCACCGAAAGCAATCTAGCCCCTAACCAAATCCGTTTTGGTGTAGGGAATGGAAGAAATAAGCGGCTAACACCATAGACAGCCACAGCAAAGAAATGGAGCACCAGACTCAAAGGGCGCGGATTTAGACCAGAGAGTAAAGACACAGGGCCATTAGAGAAAATGCCTCCAAGGCTCAAGTAGCCAAAACATGCTTCACGCATTTCTTTCCTTGCCTGATCTGATGATGCACAAAATACTTTGTAAAGTGCACCAGCCAGTGTATTTATAGTAGATGCTACAGGCTGCATACAAAAGTAAAAATATTCAAATACTTAAGTTAAAAGCCCCAAAATTTTAAATTTAAGATTTAGCCTTTCAGCAGTGTCTTAATAGGACATTTTAAAAAATGTAAAAGTTCAATCTATAACTCACCTTTCTGAGGGTATAGAACGATTCAAGATACTTGGATAGGGTTGTAGCATCATTAAGATCATGTATAGGTCGAAGAAGATCTCGGATAACAACAATATCTGATAGAGCCACAGTCATTCCTCCACCGGTTAAAGGATGCCGCATGTTGAATGCATCTCCCATTAGAAGGGCACCAGGAGTGGGGTGAGGATTTGCTGGCATACTTCTGTTTGGCATTGTTTTTATTTTTCCTTTGTCAATTGCTGCTATAAATGCATCATAGAGCTGAGAAGGAATCTGAAAAACGGATGTATTGTTCAATCAGAATGAGCAATATATGCAACAGAAATAAGTAAATGTAAATAAGCAGGAGAAAGGTTAGTCCTCCAATGAGCAAACTAAAAGTACCTGAGGAGCCACCACAGTCTTCAAATATGTGGCCATTTCACCATTAGCAATGGAAGGCACCTTTTGTCCCGGGACATCAACCAAGCAACGAACTTCAGTGCTGCTGATAGGATAAAATAAGATAGGCGAAGGGTCCGCAAGAACAACATGTCCGTGGTTTGCAAATGGGAGATCACAATTTTCCAGGACCAAACCAACAAAACATGAGGGGACATCCACCTACATTTAACATAGACTTTTGCTTAGGGGTGTAGAATATTGAAGAATGGATACAGTGCAATAATCCAATAAAACATGCACGGTCAATTCAGGCAAAACTAAGGAACTTCAAAGAAAAAAGGAAAAAGGAAAAACTATACATGACTAACAACTAACAATCGAAACTACTTTTCACGGTCTATTTTATTTCCAACACAGCACACAACGTTCTCTAAATATTTATAGTTACTGTAGCATAAGTAGACTTATTCACCTTCGGAGTACAAAGAGAGCGTCTCAAGTTTGAGAAACAGCCATCGCATACAATGGTGAGAGGAGCACTTGCAGTTATTTCCTCGCCATTCTTAGTCTTATATTGCACTCCTTTGATTGTCCCTTCTTCTTCAAGCAACGATGTTACCGTTCCTTGTTCCAATCTCACACTAAACCGGAAAAGAGTATAGATGAGAATTAGTAAAAACTTTCTTCTAGAAAATGAGAATTTGAAATTATAAGGATTATTAGATTATTTTCACTAATTAGTTTTTTCTGCGAATAAGTATTATGTTTGAAAGAGTAAAAAGTCAAAAGTTTACTTATAATTGATTTTTTCATGCAAAAGCAAAACTGAAGTCATGAAAGCACAACAATATGATACTGTGGTCAACTCTACCAACCCATGTCATATTTTAAAGTAATTTAAAGAAACACTTCAAGTATAAAATTCCATTACGTGTGAATGGAAGAACTAACTCCAAAATAAAGAAATTTTACTTAGGAAGGGTTGCAGCCTTTTCTCTCATCCTTTGTATAAAACGGCCATTATGAAAACTTCTTCCTGAGACATCTGAATTGAATTTCTCCAGTGGATAAGACAGCTTAGTGCTTTTACCATCCATGTAAAGGGCATATCCAAAAACTTGTTGAGCATCAATATCTTGCAAACAATCTGGAATCACGTGCAAGAAATAAAATTAAGTCAACATCTTAAATGGACAAAGACACCCCTCTAAGTCAATGTTCTGAGACAGAAATTAATTTTGTCAACTGTATCGCCTACCTTTAAGACCTAACTCAATTAATTTCAAATATCCTCCAGGCTGTAGAAGTTCACCAACAATCCGATCTGGCTCGGTTAAATCTCTTTCTATAACATGAACTCTTCGTCCCTCCTACAGTTAGCAGTAGAAAGTTATATGGTTGTCGTTTTGAAGACCAAACTTAAATAATTTCATCTCTAAAAGCTTAAATTGTTAGATAAGGTTGTTGAACATAGTATATAGTTCATACAAGACGTAGTTTAACATCGTATTAGAGTCAGCAAAGATCTGGGTTCAATTTGCCAAGAAAAATGAATCTGGGGTGAAGATCAAATTTTAAACAAATAAATGTGCTACCTTTCTTATAGCTTATGCGGTTAAATGAGGTGGTTTAACATGGTAAAAGTGCATACTAGAAACCATTGCGGAATCAAATGTCATAAAAATTTTCCTTGACGGTTCAAGCCGTATTATAAAGTTTAGTACTATTCGATGATGGTTAGCAAAATCTACAATATCTTATCGAGGAGCCGTTCCAGTTTCATGAATCTTCTTAGTTGATGAGAACTAGCTTATGGTTACACTTACACAATTTGCTTGTTTCTGGCTTGCTTAAAATAGAGGCACCTTAACCAGAAGACTTGGAGGCACAAAATATTTAGAGCCTAAAGCCAGCTATAACAGGATTTATGGCAATTAATTAACTCGTCAATATAATTATTGTCTAAGTATATATTTCCACTAACAGAAAATAACATAAAAGGATTTAATTGCATTTTTGAATAAAAAAATGCAGGAAAATGAAGGAAGAAAGGTATTAGTTACGGAATCCATCACAGAATAACTTTTCAATGATTTTCAGTACGCATAATATTCAAATTAACCACTTTAATTTCTCCATAGAAACCCCAAATATTTTTCAATATAAAAGGAAGAAAGGAACCTAGAAATCAAAGAGAATAAGAGATTGAAATAGCCTTCTTCAGCAACCAGATATTTTTGTTGAAACATGCAATCATGCACATATGACGGGCTGAAAAAATGGAGATAGAATTGCGGAAAATCAGGATTAATTTCCTTACTTTTCCAAGTGTATAAGCCAAAGCCGCCCCAGCGACGCCAGCACCGACAATAATTACGTCCGTACTTACGCCGTCGACCGCCAGCCGATGAATTCCATCATTGGAGGTCTTAATGCATTGATCTTTACGTACAATCTTTGAACCATTGTTCTTCTTTATCTTTCTCCTCAAGTTACACAACAAAACAAACCCAAATAGAGAAGCAACAAATCCACCCAAAATATACTGATCAATCATCACCATTTTTTAGTATTTGATAAAAAAAAATGTTTGTGATAATGATCAGAATTCAAGATTTTGAACGGATTAAATTTCCTCTCTATACGTATATATGTATGCTTGCTTTCTTGTATTCACGAGACTTTTGAGGGATGGTGCATTTTATAAGCAAATTAATAGGTGGTTATATTTACTCGATGAAGTGTATTTTAATTGTACTCAAGGTCCTCAAACTTTGTTTGTTATAGTATATATGTCCTAAGTTTTTTATACTCCATTTTACAAAATTTATAAATGACCAGAATTCATTTTAAGTACGCATTTCAATGTACTCACAAGTACTATCGATCACTTATTTCTATCTAATTATAAATTAAATCGTTTATAAATTCTTCCCAAATGAAGCTAATCGAAATTTATCTTCAAACCTTTATTAATTAGAGATGTTAATGAGACAGATCAATGACTGGGCGGCTATTATCCATCCCGTCGAGAATTTTCAAAAACTAGACGGGGATGGGGCAGTGTATTAGGGGGGCGAAACTTAAAAATCGTCATCGACTGGTGAGAAATTTGAGACGTTGACAATGATTCATATCACCACCACGTTCACTATTCGAGAAGGGGATTCCATTCGAATTGGGACAATACGAGGAGATTAGGGACGTAAATTTTTGTCATACCTACCATTAATTGGCATATCTTATTGTTGATAATGGCATTGTAGAATTATTCGATTCGCATGTTTTGGAATTGGGAAAAAAAATTATCGTACCTTTTGTATTTATTATTTTTTAAAAAATATTATAAGCAAATGTATCTTTTTAATCTCTCCCAATGGACCGATAGCAAAGACGAGATCTACTAAATAATGAAAGATTGAAGATTAAAATTCAACGAAAAAAAAAGTTAAAGACATAATTCCTACAAATGAGCAAACCTTGAGAACCTTGAGTGTTATTTTTTGTGGGGCAACCTGTAAAACTGTGGAGTGAATATAATTAACTTTTATAATGCTTGGATCAGGTTTGCAAGAAAACGTGTTTCGCTCATCTCTATTCCACGGGAGGTTACCCAATTTATACGCTTGTTTATAAGGGGCCACTCAAATTACAATTGTTTCATTTGACCACTCAATTTATATTTTTATTTCAATTTGAGCATTCCATCTCACAATTTGACCAAAACTAGTAGTCACTAGCTCCCACCGTCATCGACATAATGTGTAATCTAATTGTTGCTTGACATTAATTTGTCTGGAAATTGACAAGTAAATTAGTAGCAAATCGTCACCAGATCAAGGTTTTGTTAGCCATGTTAGATTAAGCCCCTGCTTGGCCCCCATTATTGTGCATTTTTTATGGTTGAAAATTTTTGGAATAGTGATTGATGAGAAAATGTGTAGTGAAAGAGTAATGAAAAGTTTCAAATTTGTGTGTAATATTATTTTATTTGATGAATGTGTGGTTGTAATGAAGAGAGAGTAAAATTTAATGTAATGTAATAGAATTTAATGGGGACAAACAGGGGCTAAACATTGATTTTGATCACACATAATCGATATGGTCGAATGGAAACTATAAGTTAAGTGATCAAATTTAAACCTGTTGAAGTTAGATGACCAATATAAAATAAACACGAAAGTGGGTGACCTCCCATCAAAATTTTCTTGTTTTGAGAGAGAGAGAGAGAGAGTTTTATTGTTTTGGTACCGTGGAGTTATTACAGTTTGGTGAAGTCATTAATATCGGATTTTAATTCAAAAAAGAGTCGTTCTCCGGCATCCACAATAGATACGTGGCAGAATCTAAGTGATGCCGCCGTGATATTTAACCTTATTAAAAAAAATTAAGGGCATGTTTCGGCCGGATTAAAATCTGAGTCAAAGTCAAACAATCAATATTAACCACATCTTTCATGAATTCCACATCTTTTCAACCACACATTTCAAAAACTTCTATCGCAATCCATTAAAAATCTAAGTATTGAGACTTAGAAGTGGATTTCATCTACTGTTCATAGTAGGCAAGAGTTATAATGACAATAGAAGTATTACGTGATAACATCACGTTGTCATACTTACAGGAAACCTGTCCACTATGAACATGAGATCAAATTTGTACTAGAAGGTCATATATGGTCCTTGTTTAAGTCCAATTTTATAAAAGATCTATTTTTTTCAAAATTTATTTTCAACCATACATTTTTTAATAAAATAATATACACGTAAATCGAAAAAATTTTCTTCATTTTTAATCACACATTTTCAAAAATCACTATTAAAAATGTATGTTTTTTCTCTCAAGATGGGTCTCAAAAGTCAAAACAAAGGCTATACCTAACTTTTTTGCTATTTGGGCCTGGCAATTTATATTCATATAAGTTTGAGTGCATATTTGTCAAAATTTATTCTTATAAGTACATTGAACTTTATTTTTATTTACACATTTGGAAAGATCTATAATTTTTATATATTTTTTAATCACACATTCCTTAAAAATCCATTGTTTATGCCATTATACAACTTCACAAACACGCACTCAAGTCTTTTGAGTTCGTATTTCGCCGATGATTTGCCTTTTACAAAATCAGCTTTTATATACTTTTAATAACTAATTTCCTCGCTTTTTCTTGACCGTTGATCTGCCTTTTCTTGATCAACAATGAAACTTTTGATGAGGTGGCAAGTCAAATGTTGTTAAGAAACTATAATGTCATCGATTAGAACATCAAAAGCAAATAAAGACCACACGATTTGTATTTTTTTTTTTCCATTTCAATACAAAAGCTACGTTTGCGTGACCATGCGTTCACTATAAGAAAAAGAATGAAATTACAATATATTTCTTCACTTGTGTCTCTCTTTTTTTTTTTCTCTTTATCGAGTAAAATATTCTATGCGATTTTTAGCGTGCACAACTCTTGTGTTGTTCACACTACATGTGTATCATGTTGAAGTAGTCGTCACGAAATACATTTATTATTTATTTGCATATTATTTCGAATGATTTATGGTCATATAGAGAGAAGTCGCGACAAAAATAATTCCAATGATAGTTCTCCGATTTTGATCGACTAACTTACGCGTTACCTTTTGATGAGGACAAGACACAGTATACATCACAATCGACACATTATTTTTTAAGTAGTGGCCTAAATATTTTGCGTATTGAAAAGGAAATAAAAAATTATTTAATCAACTCTTGTCACAAACTTCTTGATATCTTGTCACGCACCTAATAGTACGTGACTAAGATGTGAAGCCACTTTATCGGTGGAAATTTAGATATTCTGCAATTTATTAATTTGCCGATTTTTCTGCTTTCATTTCATATCCTCACGGTTTTATTATAATATTTTTTTGATTGTCTTCTTAGTTTTGGGGTCAATAATTTTCGTATTTTTCTTCCTTTCCGTGCCTAATACGGCACACATTTTGTTGCTCTCAAAGTAATATAGCTTGATTGGCCTATTAGGATTTAAATTTGACTTTATGTATATTTTAACTCATAGCGTCGATCTCAAAGTAATATAGCTCGATTGACCTATTAGGAATTAAAATTGACTTTTAAGTATCTTTTTAACTCAAAGTAGTATACGTCTCAGAGTAATTGAATTGCACCTCTCGAAGATCCATTGTTTTGTTAGTTTACCGATTCAGGGTTTGACAAAAAAAAAATATGCGTCGCGGCTACATATATGGCTGAGGGAAGGGGGAAAGTCTAGGCGCCCCATGCCCAATTAGTTTTTAAATGAGTTTTTTTCTAATGGAATTTTTTTTCCAATATATTAGTCCAATTTATATATACTTATTTATTTTTGTCTCCTAACTCCGCTCCTGATTGTGTATGACGACATTTTCAATGATATCGTACTCAGTAGAATTTTAAAGAAGCGCAAAAAATTTGGTGCAAATTTGGAGTATTTAGTTGCAAATGGAGGTACAAGGAAGACAATCCCTTTCCTGATTGTGTATGAGGACATTTTCAATGATATCGTACTCGGCAGAATTTTAAAGAAGCGCAAAAAATTTGGTGCGTATTTGGAGTATTTAATCGCAAATGGAGGTACAAGGAAGACAATCCCTTTTAGGGTAGTTGGCAACCGCCATTTAATTAGGTTCCTTCATGTTGACCTAAACAAATAACAACAAAGTGAGCAAACCTTCAACTATCACATACAACCTGGATTCTTAAAATGATGTTCGTAGGTAGGATGGGCCTCTATGGGTTTTGAATTAGGCAACCGGACCGGCGAGGTCGATAGAGCATGATTATGAGGTGGTTGGGCTATCCTAGCCTTGGCACGGCCTATGGGTAATGTCCAGACACAATTTCATACAAATCAGACGCACCCTCAACTCACTAATATAAACGATTTTGAAAAAGTACATAAATTAGAGTGTTCAACTTAAATTTTAAAAGATTCCATGAAAATTAGGCGTCCCACTAACTTATGGATTTGTAATGATATTGGAATAATTTCAATGAATTTCGAGCCCAAAAATAGAAATATCAAACTCTTTAATATAAAGTCAATTTTTTATACTTTCGAGAAAAATAATAGAAATTAAATTAAAATTAGAATAAGTCTACATGTACATAATGATTGTACATAGAGATGTACATAACACTCACAAGGAGCTGGGGTCCACTCAAATATTTTATTAGAGTGGACCCCGCCTACGTTAGTGTTATGTATACCACTATGTCCATAAATTATGTACACAAAGCATATCTCATATATNATTCTATTACTGAAACTCTCTTAACCAGCTGAACATGTCTTTAATCAGGGACGGAGCCAAGAAAGTAATTCAGTACGAGAACAATTTACCGATGTTGAATGTCGAGTTTTTGGTTGTGAATTTAACGATAATAAAAATATAAAATAATATTACGACAATACTAAAAATAACATAGTTTATAAATTACATTTATTCCTTACGAGTTTTCATACTTTGATATCGTTGTACAATAACTTTATTATCGAGTTTCAAAAATATATATTTCTCTACATAAACA